TGGTACTTTTAATATGAAACAAAGTCTCAGATTGTATTGCAGTATTTAAACAATAAATGCCGTTTTGGCGCTGTTTAATGTGGAGTGACAGATCGCTGTAGCGCCTCAGATCAACAGACGTGAACTGATCATCTCCTCCACATTAATACCAGCTTCAGCACAAAATAAACATGACTAAACATCTGAAGGTAAGTTAAAAGAAAGAATACAACTTTACAATCCGTATCCTGTCTCATGTAATCTCTCAATCAGTGTTTCCTCCGGCTTATATATATAACGGCTTCTAAACAATGTCACGTAACGCCACATTTACCTCAGAAAAAACATATCCGGTGACCATAATCTCATTAATCAGATAGAAAAATAAACTGTAGAGAGGGGCATTTTGCTTAATATATGCACCATTTAACATTTTTACTTCAATGTTTAATTTATGTTTGAATAAATCCATAGTAAATCCATAAATCTGAAGTAGAAACATTATTATGTAACTAGCTTTATTATTGTAAAAACTTCATTAATTTTAACCCTTCAATATTATAGTAATGTAGCACAAACTGACTCGTACATTTTACAGCATTAGTTGGCATGTACTGTACCTGATATATATCCAAAATAATCGATATTGAATCGAAAGCTTGTGAATGAGAATCGAGTCGAATCGTGAAATTTGTGTCAAAACCCAGCCTTAATTTTCATGGCGAAATCCATATAATTGCAATATAATAGTAAAATAAAAACTATTCAAAAACTATATTTACTTATCCAAGATGTCTGTATATTACTTTCTTTCTACAGGCAAAAAGAAATGAATGTTTTGTAGGAAAACCTTTCAGGATTTTTCTCCATCTAATGCAAGTGAATGGGGCTCACCGTACACCATTATTTAGGCAGCTTTAAAGTAATCCAACATGACCCTAACAGACAAATAAGGGTCTTCTCTAGCGAATCGATCGGTCATTTTCAGAAAAACACAAATGAAACGATACACATTTTTTAGCTCGATCTGGTGTAGTCCTCTTGTGATGATGATGAAGGTGCGGTGAGGACATGATCAGCAGATGCTCATATTTGGCTGAACTGCTCCTTTAAATCCACTCTCTTCTGTAAACCTCTCAAACTCAGTTCCTGCAGAGCTTGCTGGATAGTTTGTGTGACATCTGACATCTCTCACTTCTAAGTGTCCTCTGTACATCACAGCCAGGTGCTCACACGCCTCACACATGAATCCAAGCCTCTAACCCAAACTACACCATCCTTTCTGACATCTACTCCAGCAGCTGTAATCACACATCTTCTGTCAACAGTGCTTTAATTACACATACACTGATGTGTTCACGTGCAGGAGATTCAGACATCTGAATGTCACACCATCACAAGCATAAGCCTTATACAGTTACACGGATTTATGATTTACTTCTCATTGTTATTATTTTTCTGTTCGTGTGTGAAACTAATACGAGCTCTGACGAATTCATGAACACGAACGAAAATAAACGACGAACTATTACTGTCTGATTAATATCAATAAGCATTTGTCCAGGTTGTGTTCGCGTCGCTGTTTATCACCTTCACCGCGAGCTGTGCTCATATTTCGGTGTTTATTGACATGTAGCCGTTAGCTTGAGGCCTGAGAGGAGGATCCGTGACTAAAACACGGTGAAACGCGTTTATATTCCCCTTGAAACGTCCTGACAGCCACGTGTGTCCTGAAATAAGGTGCTGAACGACTCATTTAAACGGAACGGGATTCTGCTGAACGTCAAACTGAGGATTTGGAGTCAAACTCAACAGAAGCGAGCTAAAACACGAGCCGCTCGATAAAGATCAACATGCGCGCAAACATTAATGCTGAGAGCAGCACGGACACATACCTGCAGACAGCTGTTATGAGCGCCCAGATCCGATCAGAAATATTGATTTGATGTGTGCTATAAGAGCCCAGAATAACTTTACTGCAGCCGCAGATCGGCGGAGCCTGACACGCTTACTGCGCATGCGCGGAACAACCCGCCGAATGATTGACAGCTACGAGCTTTGCGCACTTTATCACGTCGCATCGGTTTAATTTTCTTTGAAAGTTCTTCGTTTACAGAAATCATGTCAGTTTCAAGTGTTTTCTCAACAATTCAACACTGCATCACCTACTGATGAACACATTTATGTTTATTTGAATGATCACTCAGTGGGTTATTTAACCATGTATTATTACTGTGTCTTTGGAAGGGTTTTTTTTTCTTTCAACCGTTATTTCTCATTTAATTCAGAGATTCCCAGACGGTTTTTTCTCAGCTGAATCTCTTTCACCTAATATATTAATTTCAAGTCCCCCTGAGATTTGAAGGTAATAAGTTAATAATTAAGTAACACATTTGCATGTTCACAGTTCTCTGATGTCACATGACATGCAGGCAAACAAATTAAACATTTTTTAGTAAGTGTTTTATTTTGATTGTTGTTATTTTAACATGATTTCTTTTAATTTTACATTTTTATAATTGAATTAGTTTTTCATTAAATTCACAAACCTCCTGCAGTTTGGGAAACCTTGACACAATGTGCATATGTTAATTGCAAGAAATTTAATATATCTTCTTTTTATTTGCATTTTATATCAATATGGTACATCAAGATTATCAATGTGATAAATGAGTTAGGACAAAGGTAACCTAAAAGTAATCAAAAAGTAATCTGATTATATTACCTAAAATGTGTAATGTAACGGATTACGTTACTATCTACATTTTTGTCATGTGATTTGGGATCAGTAACGGATTATAATTTTCCAGTACTCTACCCTGAGCTCACAGCAGTATAATATAATACTAATACTAATACTACTACTACTACTAATAATAGAATGACTTAGCTGCTGTGGCGCAGAAGCGCAGTGTTTCCTCCGGGCCGCAGGCGGCGCTGTCTCTCGCACACACACACACACACACACACACACACACACACACACACTGATCCTGCTGATCCGAGCGCTCTTCAGCGGATTCATGCTACATATCTCGCTCTAAACACCAGTTCTCTTCATTTCTGGCTGTTCGCGTGATATAAGTGAACGCCATGTCCTACAACTACGTGGTCACCGCGCAGAAGCCCACGGCGGTGAACGCCTGTATCACGGGTGAGTGCGTGTTTATCTCCCGCGCTTCAGGCCTCGGCGGATAAACACTTTAAACACCCGTCACACGATAAACATGTTAGTTTTGTGTGTTTAGATCTGTCAGCGTGTGTTTATGACACTGTGCTGCTGCGGGGTTTAACTGAAATGGATCCGTTGGCGTGTGTGCGGTTTAGTGAATCTGACACAAACACAAACTTTAGTTTCCCAGATCCGCTGCTCGTGTCACAATCATCAGTGTGCTGCCTTTGAAGAAGATACTGCTGCAGGCAAACACACGCGTGTGACACAGTATTCACTAACAAACGGCTGGAGTCAAGTGCGCAGCTGCTTTATGATATAAACTAGTCTGTTAGCACTGGATCAGCACTAGTCAGGATAAACTAGTCCGTTAGCACTGGATCAGCACTAGTGAGGATAAACTAGTCCGTTAGCACTAGATCAGCACTAGTGAGGATAAACTAGTCTAACACTGGATCAGCACTAGTGAGGATAAACTAGTCCGTTAGCACTGGATCAGCACTAGTGAGGATAAACTAGTCCGTTAGCACTGGATCAGCACTAGTCAGGATAAACTAGTCCGTTAGCACTGGATCAGCACTAGTCAGGATAAACTAGTCCGTTAGCACTGGATCAGCACTAGTCAGGATAAACTAGTCCGTTAGCACTGGATCAGCACTAGTCAGGATAAACTAGTCCGTTAGCACTGGATCAGCACTAGTGAGGATAAACTAGTCTGTTAGCACTGGATCAGCACTAGT